CATTTTTTGCCTCCCAATGTGAGCCATGTGATGTAGCTCCCCTCCCCCATTTTCTCGAGCACCTCCCCTACACCTCCCTTACACTCCACGCCCGGTCGCTCCCCAAGTGGTTTGCGCTGGTGGCTGGGAGCCAACCATTGACTCAAGTACAACGGGACAGGCCTGTGGAGCCAATAGAGAAAAAGGGAATGCGGCGAGAATCAGTTTGCGAGAGGACAGCTCAGACTTGCGTGTGGGGTCAACTGGCCGAGTCGAGAGTTGTTGTTTTACTTCGAAAAGACTCGTGGCTGCCACGACGTGTGAGCGGAAACCAACACGTTACCATTACCTTGCAGCCCAACGGCACCACGACTCTTGAGGGGCCAGCTGCACTTCACTTCGGTACAGTAGCGCTTCAGCAAACTGTGCTCTCAGCAACAAGAACCGCGCCCACACAACAAGCCTTCAATCTCTCGTGCAATTTCGATTAGCGTGGAGATCTGATTCGACAGAGGATGGAAATCGAGGATTCAAACGGTGCCAGCCGGTGGGGTGCATGGCTGCCGCCCGATATCAAGGCCGAAGAGGAGAGCACCAAGGCCAGAGAGCAACACGAAGCCTGGATGCAGCACGTCGTCATCGGCCTCGCTCGCTCGATAGCCGCTGGTGACGTAGCGGGCAGCAGCGGCCGGTACTGGGTGCGTGCCATCCAGACCCACGTCTTCGACCTGCGTCGGCCCGTGCCGGACGAAACCCGGACCCAGCTGGTCCAGCTTCTCTACAACGCCATCACGATGCACCACACGGGCACCGAGGTCGACGCATCAACGTCGTCAAGTCGACTCGACCCCACGCTGCAGAGCAAGTGGGCCGGTGTGCTGACTCGTCTCCTCAAGTGCGTACACGATCATCACCATCATGCACCCCAACTCCCACAGTCAATTGCTAAACATTGAGCTTTTATGTGTGCTTACAGGAAGTGGAAGAACCTGGCGGGGTCAGTGATGACGCTGCCGTGGAGACCGCTGTACGACACGCTACTGGAGGCGTACACGCACGGCCTTCGCCAGCCTGCGCACCACGCAACGGCCATCCACGCCTATCGAGTGTCCACACTAGTCTCCCTTGCCAAGAAAGCCAGACGGTACCCTACACCAGAGCACACCCGCGGGATGGTGTGTGCGAGGCGTAGAGAGAAGAGCGCTCATTCTTCCTATATATGTCCTTTGTGCCACCAGGTTCTTCCCTGCCGGTGCCGCACAGGAGATTCAAGACACGATTCGTCCATTCTTCTGCCCGCACGACAACTCGTCCACCTTCAAAGCGCAGGCGCTGCTCTGCCTCTTCGTACCTTCTTCCTCCTTCGACAGGCAGCTGGTCGCCGAGGTGTTTGAGAAATGGGCCTGGATTGGTACGCTGGTCCCCTCATCGACGTGCGCGCTCATGAGCTCACTCCCACACGATCATATCCGACCAAACCAAACAGAGCGTTCGGGTCAATGGGACGCCAACTGGATCTCACTTCTTGCCCGCTTTGCCAAGGTGTCCCACTCAAGCGCCCATCTCGCGCTCGATTGGACGCCCTACCTACCGCAGCTGTTCACGCACGTGCTGAGGATACTCGGTATGCATCACCACCCAACATCCGTGAGTGTCAGCATGTGTGTGCTGATCTGCGAGTTCGCCTTCGCAGATGTATCCACGGCGGGCGCCAGCAAGCTCCCGAAGCCGGGACATCACAAAGCGCCCTCGGAGACACACGTCTTCACGCCTCATGAGGTACTTCTTGATAGGAATTGACCCAGAAGCTTGTGATGTACATTCTTTAACCAATGTATACATCCAACAGAAAGAGACCAAGATTGCGAACATGGCTAAGCTCTTGATCTACATACTCACGCCTAGCACGCCATCTCAGCTCAGGTTTCTCTCTTTACACC